AGTCATAAAAACCTAAAGGTGCTTGGTCCAAAGAGCTGAACCCAGAGCAGTGACAGTGAGCAGCAAACAGGAAGCTCTGAGTGAGGAAAAACATCCACATGAAACATCGAAACTGGACTTACTGCTGCTGAGCTCAGCCGCAACTGGATGGTTTTACTGTCCAGGATGATCTCATGATTCTTCCTCGCGAGGACTCGCTCTCTCACTGAAATCACAGCATGCACACACACACACACACACACACACACACACACACTTTTAATGATTAGCTGTTTGTAACAAAGTAAGAAACTAATCCCTCCCTGCTTCCACTTCCTGTGAATAAAAACCTGCTTCCTGTCATGTTTTGGTGACAGCTGCTGAGTATCAAAGCCACACCCCCTGGTGTGGAATCATTTTCATGATTTAAATACACGTTTCTAAAAGTGATGAAGGCTCCACGCACGAAGCATGGAAATAAAACCCTCCAGGAGCTCCGCACTGAAGGCATCAGAGCTCCTGATGTGCTTAATTAACCAAAGGAGCTGTGCCTCAACAACAACAGGAAGGAGTGGCACTGGAGGGTGAAGTGCATGCTGGGAAATCATCGCAGAGGCTCTGGGTGTTTATTAACCGGCTTCAATAACCGGACAGATGTGACAGTATGAAGAATTTCACATTTTAAAGCTGGTGTAAGTCAGCTGCTCTCTGAAACTTTCCTCTCTGAGCTGAAAGGTTAAAAACATGAAGTTTTGAGATCCTTCAAACTTTGTGGCCAAACTTTCTCTGCAGTCTGTCCGGTCACAGTGAGACTCTCAGACCTGTCTGTTCCATCATTACACTCGCAGGTCTCCGTCTGTCGGTGTTTTTAATTATTAAATGATTTATTTTACTATCTGAACCACGATGAAGCGCACTCACCCTCCGGTGAGCTGAAGTAAACGGCCGCCCTCGGGGCTCCTTCCTCCGCCTCCACCCGGCAGTCTCCTCCGCTCGACTTCTTCTTGCTCTGGAAGTAAATGTGCAGTTTGTTCTTCAGGGCTTTGGTCTGAGCCGGAGTCCAGTCCCCCTCCACGGTCACAGGCGGACACTCGGATCCCTCCAT